ACAGCGCTTCCGGTGACGACATAACGGAGTACTCGGAATTGCGCACGCGCTAACAATCAGTAATGACGTATGATGGTTTAACAAACGGAGTGTAGGGTACGTACAATAAACACTTCACGATGTTGATTCAGTGCTTTTAGCGAGCTTATAAAGCATACAGAAGGGCTCGGTACCAAATAATTGAACTAGTTTCAGCTAATAGAACGGAAATAATTGCTATTCATGTAGAACACGTTTGCAATACAAAAAACTAGGTCATTACAGCTAGTGTATCTTTAACTGGCTACATAGTTCAATCAATAACTAACAGCAACAAACCAGTAAATTCACCTTGACGACTGGACTTGCATACAGTCCCTTCAAGTTGTTATTTGTTGTTTGTTTATTTGTTTTTTTCAATTTTATGGAAGTGTATAAATGGCGAAAGCTATTATGCATCAAGGGAAACACTTATAATTTGTAACAAATAGAAACTCAACATGTGGCTATCACACCGGACATTAACAACACTTATGGCCATTTTATATATTCTCAATGTATTTGATATATATACATTTTATTTGCAGCTGTAATTAGTTCATGTCCATAAATCAGAATGTGTTGTACTTCATGATTTACTGTAACAATATTTGGAAGCTCACCAAAGCTTATGTATAATATTGTATCAATAAGGATCTTCAACCAAATGGGTGGTGCGCGTGGTGGTGACAACTAGTCAGACTTCTTGCAATGATTTTGGCCGTATTCTCAACATATTTGATACTTCCATATTTTATTGGCGTGTATAATTAGATAGCCACATGCAAGCTCACACGCAAGTCTATTTTATTGACACACGTAAGTCTGGTTTGCACGCAGGTTATGATTAGAATGCCACGCACAAGTCTGATTTGCTGGTACGCGCAAGTGGCATATATACGAAAATGCGCCTGTAGAAACTACCCTGTAGAGGCACCCTTACATACATGACAGAGTCCATACAAAAACATGGTAAAGTAGTGCGCGTCTTAGCACCCAAGGATAAGATTTACTGACAACCTCCCCAAGGAAATGTGAAACATTTTATCACTTTCTGACAACTTACTCTGATAAATGTCTTCTAGTACGAGATTGTTCAGCTCGATAACTTGAAGCGATACAAAACACATCTCCCATGGAAGGTAGTGCAGTTTCAAGATACAATTGTGATGACTGAGTCAGGTAAGACTGAAAAAAAAACAATTACTGCATAAGCCTTTGTTTAAAAAAAAATAGAAATACCATGACATTTAAATTTTTTCGGTAATATATAAATGTCCCAACAGAATTTAAGCAACAGTTCATAAGAACAGTGTTTAGTTGTGGACCTTTTATGGGTGATACCAAGTTTGAATGAAATAGAAACACTAATTTTAGAGACAAAATTGGCCAAAGAGTTCCAGATAATGGTTAAAGAGATATAGAAAAATGTGCTACATTTCGAAAGGCAAACAGTTTGTCATTGAACAGTTAAATTAGTCAGAGAGAGACTAAACAGATTTACATACTAACCTCTTCACCAAAATAGTTCAATTTAAATAGAGTGGATCCACCTTCTACCTGTGTCTGTACCAATGTTGGTGGAAATATCTAAAAAATAAAGATCATAAAGTGATTGTTTATGAACAAAGTATGAATGACCGGACACAAGTTGATGTGCAGAAGAATAAACACAATAGTTAAAATTATTTCAATAGTTACAAATTGTTTTAATAGTTACAAATGATTTTAATAATTACAAATGTGCAAATCATATTACAAAACAGTCGATGTTATTAAACAAGTCTGAAGATGACATTTGAATTATATTTGCTTCAACTAAATTCTGTTGTTACTCGTAATATTTGTAATTTTGACTAACCTCAAAGTAGCTATTATTGAAGTAATGATCTCGGAAGCTGGTTGAATGAAAGTAAAAATAATACTGAATTATTCAAATATGAAGCTTTCCTTGCTTCCAAAAAAATGCAAACAACTTGCAATCACTGTTTGTAATTGTTGCCACCTGAGCTGCAACCAATCACCTGTAAGATTCAGGAAGAACCTCACCAAAGCAGGTTCATCAGAAAACACCAACAGATGAAAAATTATTATTAAGGTAGAAATTTAAGTGAGTGAATGATTTTTTTTCTTACCATTGCGTGACAACAGATCTGATTTTCAAAATCTTGGATAACTGTAAAAAACAATAAAGTCATGGATAGAACAGTCTCAACCTACTGAATTATGAAAACATAAATCAAGCTAATATTTATTTTTAATCCACTCATTGAATGGCAAAGTAACTATTGTCACCTTTCATAAAATTATCCCATTTAATTTTTTTAATATTGTTTTTGAAAATTTACTCGTGACAGGTAAAAAATGATGAATTAAGTCTATTTTGTGCAATAAAAAATAATAATAATCATGGTATGCAAATGTACAAAACAAATAAATTGTTTAATCTCAGAGTTTGACGGAAGCAGTTTGCAAACCTGCATGATGATCATGATGGGCGGACTTTGTGCGAATCATCATTACATAATCAGGTTTCCAAAGAAACTAAACTGCCAAACTACATGACTAGGTGAATGCTGCACTAATCCCTGACATGTGAAATTAAATCTTCTTATACGTAAAGGTCACCTGAAATCATACTCACGTTTTCCCCTCTTATCATCATATGTCGGTTATCAAGCTGAACGTCAACATGAGACTCCTGCAAATACAAATATCAGTTGCAAAGTTTAAAAGTTTAAAAATTTATAATTATATTTCACAATCATTTTGACATATTTCCTCTATTTGCCAAGTTTAGTTGCTAATAGCAACAAATGATCTATATATACCCAAAATCCTGTGTATAACAAGATAGGAAATGCGTCATAGAGGGCAGGGCACCAGTCCAAACTACTAGTATACAAAGCTGGGTGATCAGAATGTTAGATTCTGTATTTCCAACCAAATTTTCAAAATGTAGGTGGAAGGTGATATAATCAATTGCACTCTGATGTCATGTATAAATTTATGCCAACCAGCATGCGAGTGTCTAATCATGGAGATAAAAGACATGACAGTTACAAATGGTTTAAGATCAAAGGTTCCATGATCATTTCCGGCATTTACTAAGTGATTATAATGTTTGCTTGTTAATCTAGCAGCAAACAAGTTATCGAATTAACATACTGTGGGACGCGGAATTTTCACATAATGAAATTTTCGCGTGAAAGCAAATTTCGTCTAATTTGTGCATTTTGTTATTCGCATTCTCTTTCAGACGAATTATTTCAACTTTGACCATTCATTCATACGTGATTGTCATAATTTTAAAACAAAATTTCAACAAATAAGAACAAAGAACATTTATTATTCAATGTTCCATTCAATGTCCGAGGATTATCGCTATTATTTCTGCAGTTCACACTCAGCGCGGCATTATGCCAAGACAAAAATACAGAAAAACAATGCATCGGTATCTAAACACTGTTATCATTCCGTATGTGCCAGAAGGTGCGGTTGTATTCAGAGCACATCGATGGGAAGATTTTTTTGAAAAAACTACAAGACAACAACATCGCCACAGTGTTTGTTCCGGCCTCTTGTACAGATCAGCTGCAACCCCTTGATCTTGCCGTCAACAAACCTTTCAAGGACTCGCTAAAATCTCACTTTCTATCGTGGTACACTGACCATAATTTGAAGGACCTGCAGACGAAAGCTGATAATTCCGATGTCAGTATTATGGACGTACTTCAGGAATATTCAAAAACTGTTGGGCCAAAGGTCACTGTTTAAAAAAAAGTGGAAAATTGTGTATGCATTTGCAAAGACGAAGTCGTTGATTGTTTCAATTCAGCGGAAGTAAATAAAATTGAAGAAGTCGTGATTGAAGAGAATATATTTTGTCCCAAAATCATGATGACTGGATAATAGCAAAAGATGTAGCCAGAAGTCATGAAATACTGTTAATGACAAAAAAAAACCTTGAAAACAGTTCAAGTTTCCGTCATCTGCTGCATGTGCAGAGTACTCTGAAGGGACATAGTTTTAACACCATTGCAAAGATCATGAAGTAGGCTTCAATACACATAAGTAGGCCAATTGGATGCAACCCTGCCAAAACAGCAGTTGAAATTTCACGAAAAAACAATATAGATCAGCCGATTTTAAAAATTCAAACATGAATAAACTTGTCATAACAATGGCATTCTTTCTAGATGCATCACGTAAGTAAAAATACTCTTATTCTCATAAAACGCTGCATAGCAACCAAGAAAAAAAAGACCCGCCCTTGGTTACGAGGACAGTGAATGCTAGCATTAAAAATGATTATGGGCAATAAAGGAGGTTTAAACAGACAAGATAAGAGAATTAACTCTACTAGAATCAAAGGAAATTTAATAGGCTTTGAACCAGTTGTAACTCCTTCTGTCTTTTACCTCCATGGTCTAATAACAAATCATTTGATCACAAGTTGCTATGACAACATTGCCAAT